AATGATCTGAACCACACAGACCACATATAGGCCACGTCATTCTCGTTTATTTCAAAAGTTTACAAGCATTACCTAACATTCAATAGTTTTTTATGTTTTATTACTTTGGTATTGATTGTGAGTTACTCCATTAATGGACGCATGGAACATTCTATAAATTTGTAGTAAGTTCAAGACTCATTATGTATGCTGATGTAATGGTCTATTTATAGACAATGCGGGTATATATTGGGGAGTTGTTCAGCACTGAGATCAGATCGGAGATCTCGTTGAATTGTATTGGAGTTTAAGTATCTAGTTATTGGAGTAGTGGAGTTTTACCGCGTTATTGTACTTGATGTTTGCAGAGTATAATAATACCAGTACCAGTTGAAACCTCATCTGTTGGCTCCGTATTCGTATTTTATCATCGCCGCCAGGGAAGTCTTTCTGTTACTGTTGCCATTTTGGTATTTGAACCATCACACCTGTACTATACCAATTACGGTAATATTACGTTGCGTGTGACAACGAATACCACGTGACCCATGACCCTATAAAGACGGGAGTGATTTCATTCTCGGTTGTCGTCGTCGGTGGTCGGCGTCGGTCTTCGTCGTCGGTCGGTGATCTCGGTCAGTTGTGGTTGTCCAACAACATGTATCTTCAGGCGTAGCCATGAAACCGTCACGTAGCAACCAACTTATGTCAACATATTGTACTGTATCTACCTGATTGAATCCTTCACAATAAATGACGCGTTATAACTACAACTATACCGTGTGTCCTGAATTATTTCCACAAGTAACAACAGAAAAAAAAGCTTACAACTCTCTGACATAATCGTGAGAATTTGATAGCACACGGATCAATAGACGACAATATATCACGGTTTTGGGTGTTTAGAAGTGGGTTCCAAACGTGAATAATACAAAGTAGGGTGAAATCCTCGTCTCCGTGGTGGATGTACCTTAAATATATCATTACCCAGTATGTGTATCTTTTTTGTTTTATACTGCAAATGTTGCGATATTTAAAGTCATTTCCATGTAGTAGTATAGTACACCTTGTGTACTCTGCAAGTAGTTCTATACCATATCACATGTACTGTACTGAGTTATGGGATTTATATAATGCATATCACTACATGGTGACGTCACACATAAAGGATAATGTGTCTGGGTAAATGTTAATTATATATAACCCCCCGGCATTTTATTATCAACGATAGTTTTAACATAGAAACACTGTGGTTTGTACGATGTTTGTTTTTCTTGAAACCTAATGGTTCATTGCAAATTAGTTATACTTTTTTATGACGGTTCGTTGCGAATCGTCTCTCCAGTCGCACTATGTACTCATGCTTGTCGCCTATTGTTTATGTAGCGAGCTATACGTTGCCCCGTCGATTGTATAGTGTAAATGTGCCCTATATGAGACAGTGCACGAACTTCGCGGTGTATAGCATTCCGCTACCACCAATCCATTCATGCATGCATCTATTCGCATACTAACAAAAGAAAACAATCACCTCACGGTAGTCAGTAGGTCACTGACATTTATGAGAACTCGACAATTGCAGTCGTTTCTTTGGGATCACAAATTCAGTCGTGACCAGGACACATTTTCAAATGCTAGCTGACTTTTAGTCAAACCCAGCTCATTATATAAATATAAAATATTAAATATATAAACGTTATATTCGTGGCAATTGTCGTGAAAATCTGGGGATGCCGATATCAATCCACCGCCGCTGTTTATTTATACTATACGTGGC